AGAGACAGAGGCTGGTGCCGGTCAGCGCCGCGGCGAGGGGGAATGAGAGGCAGGAGCGACAGGCGTTCTTCAGCGCTTTATTGATTAGTTCTTTGTACAGGTATTTACACAAGGGAGGAAAGAGCCCGCCCACGCTCTGGAAACAGTCCTGCGGAAAGCAGCAGTTGAGGAAAGGCCCTCCCCGAGCCCCAGGCCTCTCAGCATCGCACCCTGGAGCAGGTGGGGGGTTCCCTCTCTGCCCCCCTCCACAAAGACTGATGGAACCAAAACATTTCTACTCTTCGTCCCAGCTCCATCTGTTACCGGCAGCACTGGTCACCTCGGTTCTTGCCAGTCATTTTCCAGCCAAGAATGTCTCTTCCCAGGCCATACCTTGCCCCAGTGGCACATCACACCAAACACACCACAGGCACCTTGCAGCTGCAAAAGCTGCTCTGCCTGGTGCTGGCAGAGCCCCTGCTCCAGGACCACGCCATTGCTCCAGAGTACAACCCTCTCTGCTTGTTACTGAAAGCATTAGATCCACAGCACCCCAGAAACACAGGCAGGTGAGCAAGAAGGGTAAACATTTACAGCAGTGTTGCAATTACAAGGGAGAGGCAGAGCAGCTGCTACTCCGATCCCAAGTGAGCAACGGCATGGGAGGGAAAAAGCAGGTTCCTACAGTCCCTGCTTCCTCTGAACTAGAGGTAAGGTCTCTCTCTTTTCCTCCTGTGAAGAAATCAGCATGACAGCAGCAACATGGGGTTGTCAACTGTGGGCTGTTCTTTAGATCCTTTTCTGCCCCTAAAAGCAGGCTGGCTGTCTAAACCTTTCAAACTAAAAGCCATGTAGATAGCATGACCTACCTGACAGGAAGGAAGACAAAAAAAATTAAAGAGACCAGAGGCAAATAAACACTGTTTAAGCAGTGGTAATTAAGTCGCTCTATGCAGGTGGTGGCTGCAGGACACCATGCAAGTCTCTCCCACTGTCATTTCTGAAGACTGTTTGTCCATCAGCCAAGACAGCACAGCCTTGGAGAGCCAAATGCAAAGAGGCTGCTCAGAGGGGACTTGGGGAGGAGGGAATAACTAGGATACTTACAAATCAAGAAAAACAATATTCCCATGAGTTAGTTCTACCTCATCATTTAAGCAAGATCAGGGAAAGAAGTAAGGTTTGAAGTTTTCTGCCTAGGGTTCCTATCACAAAGCCAACCACCTCTGTCCCTGTGTCACTCAGAAGTCTGGAAACCCAGAGACAGCCAGAAGGGTCCCACCACAGAGGCTGATGTCTCTCCAGATCTCTGCACTCCTCAGAGCAGCTGAGAGCTGCTCTGGCTTGTAAGAAAAGCTAATGCCTGATTTGCACTTCACATGAAAAGCAGAATTCCCACAAATCCACATCTTAAGCTTACAGCTGTTTTGCTGACCTGTGCAGTTCTGCAGGGCCCTCCACACGGATTACCAAAAAGCACAAAAAAAAAAAAAATAAAAAAAAAAATCACAACCTGCCAAGATGAACAAGCAGAAGCAGAAAGCCAAGCACCAACCTCACTGCAGCTGACAGCACTGCAGGTTAGAACAAGCTCTTCCTGCCAAAGCAGAAACTACCAAGGAAATAGTTACAGCTGCAGCATGAGCAGTTTGGACACATGTCGCTGCAGCAAGGCAAACCCTTGCAGGGGCAGGGTCCCCTTCAGCTCTCCTGTACTATCACAACACACAGCTCGGTGCTCTACTCACACAAGACATCACAGCAGCCTGCTCAGCACCACCTGCCAACCCACCTTCCCCAACAAAACGGGCTTCGCGTCGCTCCAGCGCGCAGCCCAGACAAATAATGCAACGAGTGGAGCTCACAGGCTGCTCCACCACGCACTGGCTCCATCCCAGAAAGCAGCTGCATGGCAGGAAAGCTGAGCTCACATTCCTGCTCCCTAAAACAAGCCTCACTGCTGCCTTCTGAAGCAGCAAGAAGTCTGGGCTGACTCCGCTGTGCATATGGGCGAGGGGGGAGCAACAAGCCGGGGCAGGCTGGATGCAAAGCCTAGGCCTTGGTTTATAAAGGAAGACTGGTTGCAACTGGAAGGGCCAGTTTATTAGAGAAACCTCACATTGCAGAGAATTCACAACACAGTGGAAAGGGTCCAGGCCTGCTGAGGGGGCCAATCTTCTGCAGGAGCACAGATCTACGTCCCCCAGCTCCAATCCCAGCAGGTGCCACAAAGGGAAGGGTTAACTGTAACACAGCTTATGTTTACAAGCTGGTATTAAAAGTTCAAAAAAAGCCTCCCCATTAGACAACAGTTAAAACAAAAATGGTTTAAAATGTTTAAAAGCTCTGTGTTCTTGACTGCAGCATATTGGGGAGGCAAAGGTCTACAACACACACAGGTCTCTCTGGGTCTCAGCATTCGGTCTGCTCTACCAGTGAAGGCCAGAGGGGGGGGTCTTCTCGTCTTTGTTGCTTTCCAGAGAAAAGGGTGGGATTCGGACATCAAAGTGGGAGCCATCAGGCCTCTCAAATCGAAAAGTACCCCTGCAAAATAACAGCAGAGATCACGCTGAGGCCAGAGACAAACACAACTAGGAACTGTCAGCAAGAAAGTAAGACATGAGCTCTTTCCATATCCTGCGTGGGGGCTCCAGGGCTGCATTTGCAAGGCCCATCCAGCAGCAAGTACACCAGTTCAGCAGCAAGGACATCTGCCTGCCAAGATGACTCATTTATTGGAAGACTCCTGGGCGGTTTACACTGCATCTCTAATATACATTTCCTGAATAAAGATGTCATAATTGGAGCCTCCAGGAGGTAAGTGCACTCCACGCATCTGCAGCAGTGTTTACCTAACTCCCACTCCACAGGAGACAGAACCATCTGAGCTATTTTTACAAACTGATTACATGTAAATTCAGATTTGTATTTCTTGGCAGAAGCTCCACTGGTTAAGAAGTCTACAACAATATGAAATCCCATCACAGATGTAATTTGGAATAGCTTCTGCTTTGCATTTCAGAAAGGGCATTTTGGAACTGAATCTGCCTGTCCTTGTACAAACAAAGAATTTGTTTACTGCCCTGAACTACAGATGACTGTACTGCAGAACATGACTTGGGCAAGGATCACGGAGACAAACTAACAGGTTCTTATGATGGGGAGGACACAATGAAACAACCCAAGTCAAGCTGAGCAGCTTCTGAGCTGCAGAACCTTTGTCTCTTTCTCTTCAGGATGCAGGCAGAGAGGGAAAAAAACCTTCTAAACAAGCTAGGTTTATTCCCCAAGGCATGCATTCAGGCAATTCAAAATGCTTAACATGGCAAACAAGGGTGTATCCTCTAGGCAAAGGGCTGCTCTCTTGCTTTTCCCAACTCAAAGGCAGTTCCAAGGCAGCTTAACTATGAAACAGATTCACTTAAAAAATGCAAGCCAGAAAGACCTGTCATATGAAAGGCAAGAGGTGGCTGTGCATTTCTAAAATACAAAACAAATGGAAATTGCTTTAACCCTGTGGCACAGGAAAACAAAAACTCAGCTGAGCACTTTCCTACCTGCACTCAGTCAAGAGGAGACTTGACCACCAGTGAGACCAAAGGCCTTATCTGGCCTAAACTGGGAATAACCCCACATGCCAGTTCCTTGTGGACACAGAACTGCACAGTTTCACTCAGGAATAGAATCAAAGCCCAGTACTCTCCAAAGAGAGGGGATACCAGGGCACACATTCCTGCTGCCCAGAGAAACACCAGCACGAAGTCTTGCCTCTTCCACCAAGGACTGAAAGGGACAGAAACCCACTTCATGTCTTTTCAAATCCAGTCTAGCACAGACCACAGAAGGAAAACAAATTAGCCTGGAACCTCTCTTTATGCAGAGAATCAACAGATCTTATCACTAACTGGGATACTGCTATAGAGAAGCTCATAAAAATTTTAACTAATACATTCCATCCAGTCCACTTCCACCCACCTTCCAGCCGTAACTCCAGACTGCAAACTGCGTCCCAGCTCAGCACTGTGGGGTCCTACATCTAAACCACTACTGCAGTAATAAGTGCTTCTTACCACATGTGACCACTGGATGCCTGCAGGGAGACGTGACTGCTGTACTGAAATGCCGGCTGTTCTTTGGATAAAACTGGCTCCTGAGAAGACAAGAAGAGACCACTCTGCATCAACAACAGATCTTAACGTTTCTCCACAGACAAGCATCAACAGGAAGTTTACACAGCGAGATCCACACCTGAACATCGCTACCAATTACATGGAAAACAACTCCCCAAAACTCCATATTATCCCGGTTCATGCACACTAACAACAGATGAAAGGCTCGCGATTTCTTTTTTATTGCCAGTTTCCTATTCCATCTGTTTCTACTGCCCAGTAAGCAATGTACTGGCAAACCAACTCAAGCAAAAGGACTCCAGCAAGTGGCTGCACTTCCCAGAAGCAGCTACACAACACTTACCCTTCCTACAACGCCGCGGCCCCTGACTGTTTCCAAGGTGCCAGACAAGCTGAATATCCTCCAGTGCCGTTCTCTGAGTTGTACCACTTCGCTGTCAAGGTTCTCCAAGCGAATACAGTAGCGCCACTGGACAAAAGAAAGACTGTTATCAAGAACTGGAATCAGCTGCAAACAGTTGATAAACCACAGCTGATACTGGGAAACAGTTGCCAGGCGAGGATTATTCTCCCTCAGAGCTTATCAAAGAGCAACGATGCCACAGCAAATAAACTCCTTCCCTTTAGCTGCTTCTTGAAACGAAAGGCACTTACCCAGTAGACGTGGGAATTCTGGGCTTCCTGTCAAGAGAAACAAAAGATGTTAGCAGCTGCCCTTCAATGCTCAGTGCCAAAACCTCTTCAGCTGTCAGCACAGCACAAAGCACAGGGGCTCTCGCTCCATGCCAGATCAATGCAGACAAGTCATGTGAGCACAAGGCCAGCTGCTCTCGGAAGTAGTTCATTGGTTACTGCCTGGCACCGGCTCTGCTCCAGACAGGTAATCATGAGGTGGGAGATTTGCAAGGATCTCGTGACTACGGAGGGTTGATCCCCATGTTAATTAAGCACTTTCTATAGATCTAGAAACACTCATTTCAGTGCCTTCAGGCACCTGTTTTTCTGACAATGTTAGGGCAAACATCACTTGGGCTTCACAGAAGCTGCAAATCCACACCAAAATGTCCACCTGCCATGGCACAGGCTCCCCAGCAGCTGTGCTTGTCTGGACTTGGAAATCAAACTGCTGCAGAAATTCCCAGCCCTCCCACTCAGAAATCTATTGGAGCCTCATCATTTTGGATGGTCCACATGAAGGTGTGATACTATAAAGAACACACAGTTATCAGCTAAATCCAGAAAGCTTTAGCCAAATGCTCTAACCCACATTAGAACCAGGAAATGGGCAGCCACCTACAGCACCTCATCACTGGGCAGGACAACAGACATGTTTGTCGTTACAGGGCAGATGGCCTTGGTGCCACCTTATGCACACACCCATCTGTGACTGAGGCAGTGAAGGACCGATTCACAAGCCTTCTTAAATATCCTGCTGACACTGTTCTGCAGAACACTCCAGGGTATTTCCCATCCTACAAATAACAACCAAAAGCCAACCTGCAGTAGCCATTCTCCAAAAATGTGTGGCAAAAGTTCCATGTTCATAACTCTGCTGGACATCGACAATGAAAATCGCAACTGTGATTAAAGTCATTTCACCAGTAAGCAGCAGGTACCCTCAGTCAGTACACATCTTAGAAAAATATGCAAGTTAAAGCAGAAAGAACATAGAGACATGCAACACAGACCTACCCTCATGCCCATATAGAAAGGGATGACTGTGACGCGGATGTTCTCTGTGGTTTCTCGGTGCACATCAGAGAGCTCTAGCCAAGGGTGATTCTTCTCCTGCCACGCACACAGTGTATCCCTCGCTACAAAAGGTGGAACTGCAAGGAGGGAAAAATGACAATTTCTGAGGAGAGGCACACTGTATCTGGAGTGCTCTCCCCAGGAAGGGATGCCTTTCACAGTTATAAAAATTATTTAAAGGAAGCTTTACTGTGACAAAACCCAGACCAGACCATGATTTTTACACTGTATCTAAAATGATGGGTTCTGGGTACTTGTTATAGAGTACCTCAAGCACCTGGCTCAGAAGAGTTCCCTCTGAAGCCAGAAATTACCTTTTGTTTGGTCGTACATAAGAAACCTCTCAAAAAGCTCATGCTGGATGGGCACTTGATCAGTGGAGCTGTAGGGGAGGATATCTTCATGGCTTACATAGTCTAAACCTGAAAAAATAACCAACAAAAGCCACTGAAATTCCCCAGTGAAAAGCAGCTCAAGTGTCTCCCAAAAGGATAAATGGATTACTCTACCGAGATGTTAAGATTCTGGCAGCAGTAGCTAGAATTGCATGCAATGGAGGAAATAGGCCAGTAATAACCCTTGGCAGCATTCCCCTGTAAGATTTCTCCAAGACACACTGCCTTGGAAGTGGCTGCACTGCCACAAAAGGATTTGGGGCAGGAAACATACAAGACCAGCAGAGATCTAGCTGTCCTGGTAACAAAGTAGAATGGCCTGTACCCAACAGGTTATGTGTATGGGATCTATGTCTCAAGAGCACAAAGTAGGCATGCTTGTGTCTGCTCAGAGTGTGCCCAGCTTCCATCTATCCAAAAGGGCTTCACGGACTTTAGTCATTCTGTTGTTTCTAGCACAGCCCCAAACTACAGACAGATCCTCCATGGAACGCCCTGTAGGTACCACTGCTTCCCTGGCAGGAGGTGACTGTTGGTGACTCTGACCTCAGTTCATGACAATCCACATCTCCACAGAGGTTGAAGGTGTATTTTACTCACCTGGTATGGCATAGAGGGCCCTGCTGTCGTCATGATTTGCCAGGAATGTCACTGCTTCCGTCTGTGATCTCTGGGACTGAGAAAAAGGGAAGTTTATGTCTTTGTGTGGATTGTCATGGGCCAGTTTCCAGCCGCATTTCAGTTCATTATTTGTGGTTTCTAAAGTGTGTAATGTTTATTTTACTTCACCAATTCACCTCAGAATATTTCTCCTTTTAATACCTCTAGATTAGTTCTTCACTCAAACAAGGGAAGAGCATTTTCACTGCTGCGACCCACATTCATAATGTCCTGTGTGCAACAGAGTAAGAATGCCAACAGGATGAGAAAGTGAGGTTGGAAAGGGGACACATGATCCAGAAAACAGTCATATGACATTCCAGGTTATCTTTCTCGGGGAAAATACGACTTGGAGAAAAAAATTGTCTTAAAAGTCCAAACAATCAAGTTAGTGATCACAGCCATTTTCTGTCAGTGCCTATGTAAAGCATTCATAGAGGAGAAGATATTTCAGTTTCAATACCAAGTTGACCAGTTACTTACTATATGTGGACAATCCCGGGCATCTATTAGCACCTGATAGTAAGTATGCGTTTTGCCCTTGACCTCTTTGGAACCATGGCCTGCTGCGTTCTCGCTTCTAAAAAGAAAAGCAGAGTGCTGAGCTCAGGTGCAGGACGGCAGCAAACTGCTGTTACCAGGACCAAGCACATTCATAAACAATGATTTTTTTAAAAAAATAAATGTCACAGTCTGTAATTATTCAATTCCATCCAAATTAAACTCACATCAGCTACCCATACAACAACAGAGGAGCCGAGATGACAATCAACAGTGATTGTCACAGGCAAAGCAGCTGTTTTCAGATGTCTCAGAAGTTCTTCCTGCTCAGTCCAATCTCCTGTTTGGGGTGAGTATTTCTAATGCCCTCTGATTCCCTCTCTTACTCCTCACTCTTTCCCAGCACACCTCCAACACAAGCCAGGGGGCAAACGGATGGAAGAGGAGAGAGAATCAAACAGCGACTCAGTCCACAGGAAGGACGAACTTGGCCTAGTGGGCTGAAACTGGGGAGGCAGCTGACTCCAAATCCAACTCCCTGGCAATCTACAGAAGCAGCAGCCTGCAATTTTAACACAGGAGCCTGTACTTAACTCAAAAAGCAACACAAGGGGATTATTTATGATAAAAAAATGTCAGGAACATTTTTATTTTTTTTTTTACATTTCCTACACACACACTCTCATCCTTCATACTTCCATCCTGCCTCTAATTAACACAAAATTAATACTCATGCAATGTCTCTTCTAGTTTATATTCATGCAAAACAGACCCATACCATTGTCCTCCTTAAAAAGACTTGTTTAGCCCTACCAGGAAACTCACTACAAAATGTAACAATACAACAACATATAAACCAGAACAAATCCTTACTTTTCCGTGACAGGAGAAGCTACATCTCGATCGTAGAGCCTTGCTTGCCAAGGAAACAGGACTATTCCTCGATAGCCAAACACACTGTGAAGAAATAGCTGAAAGGAACAAATAATTGCATTTGAATACATAGCGATTACATACTACAAAAATGAGGCCAAAAGCTTTTCTGATAGTATTTTAAGAAGTCTGTTAACTGAGGTAAAACTATAAACATTTACAAAGAGTATAACTGTGTGAGATGAGAATACAGGGAGAATCACCACTGTGTGAAGCCAAAGCAGAATATAAACAGTCTGGGATGAAAGAAGAAATTCATGTCATCTCTGTTCCACAAAAGTGAATGACTAAACCAGTAATGAAGTAACAGAACAGGAGAAATGCAGAAAGGAAACCAGCCTGGAGAGACCACTCAGGAACATGGAAAAAGATCTGTGAGTCATAAGCACAGACATGACAAGTTTTGTTGTTATATCTCAAATTCAGTGATTATCTCTTCTGCTCTCAGAGGGAGAAAACCCTTCAATAAGACCAGCAGAGCAAATGCCATTGTAGGAACAGTTGTGTCATGCTGCAGATTCTTATCAACTTGCTACTGTCAGATGACTGACAAACTGCAGACACAGCAGAGACAGGGAGCACTGAACTGTGAAACTTCTGGCCTGATACAACACAGCAGCCTCCTTACAGGTAAATCACTCAGCTACCCGATATCTGGGCCTGCAGGGTCAGCTCTGCTCCCCAGAACCACTTACCTGTCCTGTCTCGTATTTGCCATGCTGCTTCGGTGCCTCAAACACCCCCACGGTCTCCAGCACTTTGCCCTCTGGACGGTTCCTAGGAGCAGAGAGGTAGCTTTGTTGGCGTGCAGGGCCTAAACACTCTCCAGACCAGGCAGCGCACAACACCTGAGCCCCAGGCGCTGGCCAGGAATGACCCCCCCGCCCCCCCCAGTACCTCCCTTGGGTACCCCCACAGAGAGCCCCACTATGCACAAGACTTCCCAGTCACCCCCCCTTACCTGCCGCCCCCCCCACCCTTTGCCAGTCACAACTCCCCTGGACACCCCCCTGCCCAGTT